AAGTCAAAATTTCACTATTTGCAGATGATATGATATTTACATAAGTGACCCAAAAAACTTCACCAGGGAACTCCTACAGCTGATAAACACCTTCAGCAAAGTGGCAGGATACAAGATTGACTCTCAAGTTTTAAATATTTGAGATCTACAGACTCTGCATTCTTGCCTGGGTCCCATAAACGTGAGGTCCTGGTGGTGAATGTGGCAGCGATGGCAATGGTAGCAGTGGCACTGGGTAGCAATGGTAGGGATGATTCAAGGACTCAATGAACATTTATTGAGCACCTATTACATGTCCCTTTAAGTCCCTCTCACCGCCCTACTTGCACAGCTAGTGTCATGCTTCCCTCTTTGGTTGGTGTGTATTGAATGCCTCCCATGGGACACAGGCTGGGTGCAGAGAGATGATACCATGTGACCTCTTGCATAAGAGGCCCACTGCCTGCTAGTAGATCTTTGCTATATAGAAGAATAAGTTCTAATATGGAAGAATACAATGCCTGGGCAATAGAAAGGACCAGGGATGGTGTCTCAGTTACTATTATATTGTTGTGAAGAGACCATGACCAAGGCAACTCTCATAAAAGAAAGCATTTAACTGGGGGCTTGCTTATAGATTCAGATGGGTTAGTTCATGGCAGGAAGCATGATAGCAGACAACCAGGCATCGGGCAGAGAGAGAGAGGGAGAGGGAGGGAGGATGGGAGGGAGGGAGGGAGAAGAGGGAGGAGAGACTGGGCTTGTCATGGGCTTTTGAAACCTCAAAGCCCACTCCCAGTTATACATCTCCTCAAACAAGGCCACACCTCCTAATTCTTCCCAAATAGTTCCACTAACTGAGAACCAAGCATTCATGTATGTGAACCTATGGGAACCGTTCTCATTCAACCTACCACATTCCATACCCTGGCCCCCACAGACTTGCAGCCTGGACTCTGGGGTGCTGCTGGGAGAACAGTCAAGGAGATTGTGTTGAAGAGGTAGCAGAAGACATCAAGAAGGGTCAGGACAGAGAGCTTTGGTTTTACCCAAGGGCAGTGGGAAGTCCTGGAAAGACAGCTTTGGTGGGGGAGAGACTGGCAGAATGATGGTTTGGAAAGGCTTCCTGGGCTGTTGGGCAGAACTTTCTAGCAGGGCTGAAGTGGGAAGGGAAAAGTTGGTGGCAGGGAGCTGTGAGCAGGTTGTAAGAACCTGAACCTTCTAGTTGCAGCCTCTGAGTGGGTCCATTGCTGTTTGACCTCAGGCATATTGTGTGATTTGCATAGAGCAGGATAAGTAGCCTGAGAGTGAAATTGATCCATGTGGTCATTACATCAACCCAGAGCAGTGATCCAGATCCAAGGTTTAATTCAAAGCTTCCTGTGCAGAGAAAGCCATACACACAGAGACCCACACCAGCCTATCCCCTGCCAGCCTCGGCCGCACCCAATAGCAATTTCCAGCCTTCTCCAATAGATGACTCTGAGGAGAAGTCAGGCAGGGGTGTTTTCCAGACACTAGCTGAGGTAAGGCGGGTTACTGAGCCAGTCCTAGAGAGAGAGATGCTATTGTGCCAATGTGGCCCCAGGCCTTCCCTCACCTCCAAGGTAACTTCAAACCACAGGCCACATCTTGATTCTCAGAAATACTGCCATTTCCCAGAGCCCAGTATCCCTGGAGGGATGGGAAGAGGTGGTGTCACAGCTGTAGGAGGAAGAGCAAGAGGAATCAGCCTCAAGAAACCCAGAGGCATCTAGTGAACGAACCAGCTCTGGGGCCAGAGGGCTACCTGGGATGGACAAGTGGAATACAGGCTCTAAGGTCAGGTCTTCTGGGCCCTCCAGTGCTTTGAGGTCTGCAAGACTGTGCACAGCATCATAGACTCCAGCTGGAATCCACTTTCCTCCTTTGATTCTCATCTTCATCATTTGTGCCCTGGGTTTATTTCTTCATCTATGAGACATGAGTGGTAATCCCCACTTCACTTCTGGGGAGCAGATAAGATGATGGGTTTGGATAGAGTAGAACGGTGGAGGGGATATCACTGACCTCAGATAGGACAGTAGATTCCTGGGGTCCCTTGGAGAGTCCTAAGACTGTCATTTCCTTCTTTCTCAGCAGCCTCATGTGAGAGGGGTCAGGGTACCACAGTAGGTTTGTGGTCAAGAAAAGATGATCATCTTTGAATATCCATCTCTCCATCCTCAGTTCTCCTTTCTTCTCTTTTCACTCTCCCTGGGATCTTCTCATTACCAAGACTGGATGGTTTCTCTCCCATCCGAAAGCGCCTTCTATCCCACATGTACAGCCAGCCATTTTCCTCCTCTCTTCTTACTGCTAAACTTGTTAAAAAGTCTGTTTCCTCACTCCCCCGAAAATGCCTCAGGTCCCCCAAACCAAACTTCTGCTTCTCAACCAACTTAATGGTTGTCATGGCCACAAGTTGTCCTTGTCTCCACAGAGGGCTTTTTCAGACATCTCCTGTTTGACTTCTTGGTGGCGAGTCTCCTGCCTCCCGTCTGGTCTCCCTAGTCATTCCCTTGCAAGATGCTCTATGCCTTAGTCTCGGTCTCCCTTCTCTTGTCTTTCCATGATCTCTCCCAGGCCATGGTCTCTCCTCTCCTGGCTTTGGTCATCATCTATAAGCCAACAGCTCCCACCCTCTGTCTCTAGCCAAGCCTTCTTCTGGTAACCCTTAATATACTCAGAATGCTATGGCTATCTCCTTAGGCTCAAGGTGTGTGTGTGTGTGTGTGTATGCATGCATGCATGTGTGTATGTGTCTTCGAGAAGTCATCTGGTGAGATTCCCTCCTTCTCCCTCAACTTTACACCCAGTTGGTCCAGCCTGCCTTCCTTATGGCCTCACTCCTACCCAAGCCTCTCATGTGCATTCCCTAAACTGTTCCTCCTTAGCTTCAGCCCAGCTCTGCCAGGCCATTCTTCTGCAGCAGGTAGAGGCAGCCTCTAAATCACAGATTGCCTCTTGGGGTGAAGCCAGAGCCTCTCAGCTGGAAGGCAGCCTCACCTCCATCTATTCACTGCCCAACACTGTCTAGCACTGGTGAACGATCCTGATTCTCCTTGTCATCTGCTTCTCTCATCTATGAAGTTTTCTGCTCCTATGCCATTACCCACCCTCTGTTCCCCCTCCCTCCACTATTTCTCTATCTCTTCCCCATCCTTCAGAGCCTGTGTAAGAGTCCTCACTTGGGGTTAGGGGCCGTGGCCCATGAAGTCCTGTCTTTACTTCCTTCATCACGCAGATATCATATCACCACTTCTTCTCGTTGCTGTTGTCCTCCTCCTCCAGACTCGGGAAGGGCAATATCGGTTCCTTGCTCTGCGTCATTGGTCTAGCGTAAGGCTTACCCTGGAGTGGCTCAGAAAACGTGTGAAATCGTGGAGCAGTTTGGTGTTGCTCAAAATAAGTGTTTGCTCAAATAGTACAGACTGAACTGAAATAAGGAGGGCTTGATGTATAAACTGTGCCCCCTGATGGGGAAGCTGGCTTGGGACATGCATTATAGGCTTCACATAAGCTTTTAAAGAAACCAGGGAGGCGGCTTATTCTGCCACATCAGCAAGAGTATACTGGGGACCCATTCCTGTCCTGAAACCCAGGACTGTAGAGCCTACTTTCAACCCTATGATGGAGAAGTGGGCTGGGGGTGGGGCAAGGGGCAAGGATGGGGCACTGGGGAAAGCTTTGCTGAAGAGACATCCCATATAGCTGGGAAGATGGTCAGAGCCCACGCTGTGAATAGCTGAGCTTCTAGGTTCCCGAATTGCTCAGAACCTACCCCTAGAGTTTCCAAGTTAAATTCCTGTGGTGAGCAAGGTAGCCAAAACTAAGCCTGTCTATTAGAAGGGACAGGTAGGGGCTGTGGGATGACAGAGAGGCCACATGTTTTTCTAACCCTCAGATTCTTTTGCCTGTTCCCCGCCCCCCAGAGGTGGCAAAGGGAGCTTAAGGAAGGTGATTCTCTGTAAAAGTGGCGTTGGTGGCCGCTTAGATCTCCCGGACCTCGGGAACAGTGGTGAAAACCAAGGCTGTGGAGACAGCAGCTTGGGCACTCTAGGTGGCACACAGATCCAGTCAACAGGCCTCTGCCCACCATCTCTTCACTGCTTTAAACCTGATCTAGATGGGGAAGTGGTGAGCTAGGGCTGTGGGTGGCTGAGCCTGGCTATCCTGAGAGTTTCAGCAGGGTGGCAGAGGACCCGAGTTCAGGTCCTGCCTCATTACTCATCCCTGTGAAGCTCTTGGAAAGACTGCCTTACTGGAGCCTCAGAGGCCTTTCCAGAGTGGGGTGGGGGGTGGGAGTGTAAATCCTCCATTGTTTGACGTAAGTGAAGTCATGGGCCATAAAGTATATTTGACATCACAAGCACTTACACACGTGGGCAGGATAAATGGTTGGTTTGTGTTTCACTGTAAGGGTTAGGCTTTCTCAGACAACTGGCCAACTTGGCAATTTGACTGCAGTCTTGAATCCCTTTGGAGGTGAGACTGTTCAAGTGGCAGCCTCACATGGGGAAGGAGTGCTAACCTGGAGCCAGAGGCCAGCATGCAGTCCCAGCCAACTACTAACCTGCTCTGTGCCTTACCTCCAGGTTTCCTCTAACTCCAGATTCCCTGAAGGAGGGGCTGGCCACAGGAAGGACTTGGCTACCTAAGTTAGTTCCTCTTCTTAGGCTTAGCACCCTGATGCTGCTGGAGGGGTAGGGGTACTACCTGTAAAAGCAGCCTGTTGGGGGGCTTAGGGGTAAGAGTGCTGGGAGACAATAGCCTGGACAAGGAGGCTGCAAGACCTACCTATGGCTCTGAAGAAAAGCTGCTGTTAGGACTAAGGGCCCTCTGTAACCCTTCTGAATCTGCTTCCACCCATATGAATTCAAGACAAAGGCATCTGTCTAGAAGGGTCCCTGGAAATGGGATGTGAAATCAACAGGCAAGGCTGCGTGGTATTAATGCAACTTCTTTATTAATATATAATAACAAAACAATAAAGCTTATATCTGCAACTGTTTAGGTCCTTGTTATAATGTCTTGGTCACTTTGTCTGGGCTGGCTGTGACTTTCAGCTCTGGAGTCTGGGCTAGGAATACGGTCCAGTAACCTGCATGGAGGGAAGTAGAAGAGACAAGGGGTATATATGGCCACATATGCTCACATATACACAACAGTGCCAGTGACTGGGCTTTTAACACTTGGGGCAGGAGAGACTGTATAGGTTAAGACTTGGGACACATTGGTGGAGAGCTGAGGTCCCTATTGCATAGTTGTATGACTCAGCCTCCAAACACCCTGCATTTAGGGACTGGGTTTCCTGACTCTATTCCTTTGGGTAATGTTTCATCTGTCACCTGACCCCATCAGAGCCCATCTTCATAGAGCAATGCAGGACAAATTAGAGTGTCAAGAAAAGTTGCTAGAAGGGTCTCTTATTTGGAATGGGCAGTCTAGAGCAGTGGTTCTCAACATTCCTAATGCTGTGACCCTTTAATACAGTTCCTCATGTTATGGTGACCCACAACCATAAAAATATTTAGTTGCTATTTCATAACTGTAATTTTGCTACTGTTTTGAATTATAAGGTAAATATCTGATATGCTACCCCAAGGGGGTCTAGAGGGATGGAAAGCACCAGGGCTTGGGAACTCAAACCTAACCTTACTGGACGAACACAAGGCCAGCTGCTTAATCTCACCTTCTCTCTCTCACTTAGGGATTGAGAAATCTCTGGCCCAGACACCCCCTGGATTCCTATGCTGGGAACTGACGTCTGTGGCTGACAGCCCCCTCCCCCACTTCTGACAACACTATCCTGGGAACTCCCCCAAGAGGTCCTGCTTTGTCTCTGCTCCCCTCCCTGGCCCTATTCCTAGCCCAAGGTCCCACCTTCATGGGTGCCGGTGAGCAGCCGGAAGTTCTGGGCCTCTTTCTGGAAATCTTGCTTCCTGACTCTCTTGATCTGAACCAAGTGGAAGATTCCTGTGGGCAGACAAGCCATGAGCTAGGCAGGTAGGATGGGGTGACAACTCACAGTTCACCCCACCATCTCCCTCCCTGCCTCCAATCTGACCAGACACCAAGTCATGTGGAATAAACCTGCAGGGTTTCTGTCTTCCCACCCCACTGCACCTCCTCAGTCACCACAGGATTGGTCACACTAGGGCCCTAGCCCCTCTTAACTTACAATCCTAATGGTGACTGTTTGAAATATGATGGCTTCTCTGACCACCTGTCACCTCCACAATAAATAAAACATGTGTCCTTTAGTCTCTCTTCTCTGCTGCTGCTCCTGTCACCATCCACACACCTGCCCATGGTGAAGGGAAAGAGGGAGGGGAGGAAGGAGAGAGGAATAAAAGAGAGACAATAAAGAATAAAAGTCTGACAATGCAGACCTGTCAAGCATAATGATACGAATCCATATCTGTGATCATTCAGACATCAAGAACATGGGGTTACCATGTCTTGAGTGTGGCTCAGCCCTAGCTAATACTTGAGATCCTAGGAGGAAACCAAGCCTACTGTGCACAGCAAGTGAGCCACCCATCCACCAGGTCTTAGTGGGAAGGCTTCTCTGATCCACCTTGAAGGGGATTATATAGCCTCCTCTCTGCAGGACATATAAACTTAGGTTCTGTTTATCATTTTACCCATTTCTTCTTTTTAAAGGCATTTATGTGGGTGTGTACACATATGTGTCTGTGAATGTGGGGGACAGAGGACAGGCAACCTTGGTACCATCCTCAGTAATGTTGCTTTCTTCCTCTGAGGCAGGGTCTTTCATTGACCTAGAGCTCACCAGGGAGGCTAGTCTGGCTGGGATCCTCCTGTCTCTGCTTCCCTAGTGCTGTGATTACAAGTGTGTGCCTTTACACCCAGCATTTTTACATGCTTTCTGGGGACTGAACTCATGTTCTCATGCTTTTGAGGCAAGCACTTCACCACTGAGCTATCTTCCCAGACCAATCCCACCCATTTCTATGGTGCTGTCATTATGTCATTATGCTTATTCCCACCTTCTCTCCCAGACTTAGAACTCTTGAGAACTTAACTCTTTGGGTTCTGAGATGAAACATATAGGATATATGATTCCCTGGATAGAAGAATGGATGGGTGGATGTATGGATGGACAGATGTGGGGTAGATGGATAGATGGATGGATGGATAAATAGTGTAGGGTAGAGATGGATAGATGAGTTTGTTGATGAATGGACAAATGGTTAGATAGATGAATAGGTGGATGGACAGATAGGTGTAGGGGCATCTGATGAGCTGAATAGATGGGTATGAGTGGATGGATAAGTAAATGAGTATATATACATACATACATACATACAAAAATGGTTAGATAGATGAATAGGTGGATGGACAGAAAGGTGTAGGGGCATCTGATTAGCTGAATAGATGGGTGTGAGTGGATGGATAAGTAAATGAGTATATATACATACATACATACATACATACATACATACATACATTCTAGTGAGGCCCCAGGAGGAATGGGGTATTTATTGAATCCTCTGGTATTTTCACTTTGTGGGAAGCTTCCCGGGGCACCATACATGGCACTGAGGCCTTAAGCACATGGGCTGTGTGGTGGCACCAGCTGTTACTCATCACAGCCTCTGGCCAGAGAGAAGAAATGCAACCAGCAAGGCCTCAGCTAGGCCAGCACTGCCTTGGGAAACACTGAGAACCAGACCTATACCCAGGGATCAGAGGGGGCCATGAAGGGAAACAGAAGACACAGATGTGGAGCCTGAGTTTCAGCAATTGAGAACTAGCCATCACTATCCTTGGAGCTCCATCGTGGATGCCAAGAACCAGCATATAGCTCCTATGGCCCAGGAACAACACCCAGATAGCAAGAAATAACCTCTATGAGATGGGGATGGGCCTACCACTGAATGCGTGTCTTGAATGTGCCTCTTGCCCTTTTGAAAGGCCATGTAAAGTCTAAGCACAGCTGAGCCTGTGGCCTCTTAGGCAGATCTGGTGCTGGTGAGTGAGTTCCAGGCAATAGGCCGGTCCGTGTAAAGTCTAAGCACAGCTGAGCCCCTTAGGCAGATCTGGTGCTGGTGAGTGAGTTCCAGGCAATAGGCCGGTCCAGTGCACTGTGAAGCCATACTTCTCTGGACTAAGTTGTTCTGATCTGAGATGGAGGCACCTGCAGGGGTGGGGCAGGGGCCAGGGACCATCACAGGCTCTTAACCCTAAGCCTATTATGCTCAGGTACTAATGCCCTGAGCTGGTCCCAGATGAAGAGACCTTGCTAGTGCAGGTTCAGTGGTCACTGTTCATTTGTTTCCACTCCTCTGAGGACACTGAAAACTCAGATACTAATGCCCTGAGCTGGTCCCAGATGAAGAGACCTTGCTAGTGAAGTTCAGTGGTCACTGTTCATTTGTTTCCACTCCTCTGAGGACACTGAAAATGACAGTCCTGATAATGAGCCCTGAGAGTGATAGTCTGGGACAGGGAGGGAATCATGGAACATTCAGGTGACCCAGGGGCCAGGAGATGGGGACCACCACCAGGGACAGGACAGTAGGGCCTGGCATGGTAGAGCTGAAGAGTCCCCCTCATTTCCTTTATGCTGGGTCTGGTGATGATGAGATGGGAAATAAGTCCCTCTCACCTCTCTCTGTTATCCCGCCCCTTCTTGATCTTTCTCAGGCATGCCCCTCAACCTTCGGGCAAGTCATGCTATCTTCCAGGCTGAGTCTGCCCTTCCTTCCTTTGACAGGGTCTGCGTAGCCCAAGAAGTTCTCAAATTCTCCATGTATCTGAAAATGACCTTGAGATCTAATTTCACTTCTGCCACAGTATCTGGTTTATACTTTTCTGGGGATTGAACTCAGGACCTCCTGTTTATAAGGCAAGCATTCTGGTGACTAAACTATACCCCAGTTTCTCAGCCTTAATTTTCTTACCTAATGGCCTGAGTACAAACCATGAAGCTACTTGTGAGGATTAAATGGGGACACTTTGCACATGGCGTCTGCTGCATTCAGACCACAGAGCTTCCCTCCTTCGTGAAAAGCCCCTCCCCATAAGCACCTGTTACATTCGAGTCATTCAAGCCATCTGTTCCCAAAGATGGGGGTTATGGCGTTCTGCCCTCCCAGTACCTGCTGGGATGTAGAGTGTGGGTAGCCAGCACCAGCCCAGAAAACAGTATGACCTGAAGGTTCAGAACACTGGCAGGAGTCCCTGCTTCTGCCTCTCCTGCTCTGTCAGCTCTGTACCTTCCTCTCACCATAGGCGGCCTCTGAGGATGAGCCTCCTCTTACTAAACAGAGTCCACCTCTCTTATTCTAACCAGCCAGTGTGGTAGGCGGATACAGATATTTTTGCCACATTCCACAGCTCAGAGATTATCCCAAAGCACCTTTCCCCGGTTCACAGAAGAGAGCACTAAGTGATTGCCCAAGGTCACACAGCTAAGAATGAGAAGAGGCAAGATTTGAAGTAGCAGAGGTGAGATTTGAACCCAGCATTTGCCTGGGTTGCATAGACTCTGCTTATGGTCTGACCGCTGCAGTCACTCAGAGTAAAACTGTTTCCTCTGACAGGGCAGCCCATCAGAGTCAGGAGCCAGCAGTCCCCACCCCCGGAATCTTCTTTTCTCTAGGTTTTGGATTATGGCTCAACGCTTCAATCTCACCAGTAGAGTCTATGATTTTATGGTCAGCTCCTCAAAGGGTGCAGTAACTCTGTATGACCAGGAGAGGGAGCATTCGCAGGCCTTGGCAAGTGTATCAGAGCTATCAGAAACTACAGAGGAATGGAAATGGGCCTGGGAATCAGGGGTTCTTACTCCTGGAAGGATGCTGAGGCAACACTGAAACCTCTGTAGGGCCCCTATCGGTTCTGAGGCCAGGAGGGTACCAGAGGACTACACGGCTGGGAGCAGGAGCTGGCCACTCACCTTTCACTAGCTTCCAGATGTAGATCTCTACCTGGTCAGAGGCTTCATGCTCCAGGACAAAGCGGTGCAGGGTGTCTGGGCTTGGAGCTGGACTTGGAGATACCAATGTGTACACAGAGACCTGGCCTGGCACCTTGGGACACTTGGTGGAAAAGACCTCACTGTGGTCAGCATCTGCCTCCTCCTCTAGAAGAGAGAAAAAAAAAGTTTGTGGTGTGTTCAATCAGCATCGACTGTTCTCAACATGTTCTGTGTTCTAATACTTTCTGGATTCATAGAATGCAAAGCATCATTTGATTTCACACCTATGTCAAGAGGCTACCACTGCCATGCTAGGTGGTCCACATAGTCTGGTATCTTCTATGTCCTGTACTTCTAGCAGTCTGGGCACCTGTAAAGCCCACATCCTGTGGCCAAGTGTAAGCACTGCGGGTCCCAGAGACTCCCAGTAGTATGGCTAGTACCTTCCCTGCCTTCAGCAGTCCTCCTACCTGGGCAGATCTTGCAGCACTTCCCAGCCACTTTCTTGGGTTGACTGCAGGGATATTGGGTGGGGCAGGTCACACGATGGCAGTCCTGGTAGCCATCCACACATGTGCACAGGATGCAGGGCATGGGGCCGAAGGATAGCACAGTAGGGTGCCACACCTCCCCATGGGAGTATGTCTTCCCATTGTGGGTGCAAGCTGGAAGGAACATGGAGAGCAGGGAGGAAGAAGGGTGGCTGAGTGACTTGGGTTTGCCCAGAGTCTAGCCCCAAATGCAGAGTGTGCCTAGTGAACACCAGCTACACTGCCTGGGAAACTCAGGCCAGAGAACAAAACCTGTACCAATCCCGACATCATCCAATACCCAGGGCTTGCTGAAGATGGAGAGCCCTCTCCTGGCTTCAGAGGTGCTTCTGGTGGAGCAAAAAGAGTGTTGGCAGTAAGAGAGCCAAGGACAACTGTCAACACCTGGCGGGCCCACTTCCCCTCCCAGCCTTAGTGTCTCACCAAAGGTCCAGGATTTGCGACTCTGTAGCCCCATAGCTCATCCCTTTCTACCAGCCTGGGAGCCCTGCTGTGGACCCCTGTCCTCTCCTTCTGCAGCCAGCGCTCTTTCCCCATCGCCACTGTCACCCTGTAGACCAGCTCTGCCCCTCCATTTCACAGTCTTGTCCTCAGCCCTGCCTCATGGTAATTTATTCATGTGTCTCCCCAACCAGTCTAGGAGTCCACTGGGGTAGAGACTGGGATAGACTCTGTTCTGTCTCCCCCACTTCTCAATAAAGATATAATAGATGCTCAATGAAATAGTATTACTTAGGAGGCTGAAACAGGAGGATCTGAAGTTCAAGGCCAGTCTAAGCTACATAGTGAAACACCCCTCCACCCCCACAAAACAAAATTGATTCTTTCCCTGATTCAGTACTTGTGCACCTCAGTGTCCTCATCTGTCAAATGGGAGTTAGGGTCCACAATCTTCAAGGGTGCACTCGGTGTTGTTTGTTTTTGAGTTTAAGCTCATGGTCAGATTGAGATTGGAGAACCAGAGTAGGGGGTGCAGGAGGTAGAGGTCTCCACCCCATCAGCAGATGAGAGGAGGGTCCTGTCCTCACCTTTCTTATGTTTCTCCTTCAGGATAATCTTGATAGTAGTGCTGCCAGTTGCCATTGGTCGGAAGTAGCGAGGGATGAAGCCCAGAGGGGAGCTGAGGCTGGTAGGGGCTGGGGTGCTGGGGCCTCTCCTCTTTCCATCCTCTGGGCACGGATCCTGTCTCTGCAAACAGTAGGCAGGGTATAGAGCTGTCTGAGTGGGGACAGGCCACAGCTGGGACCACAAACCAGACTTCATCAAAAGGTCTGCTAGTGGAGACCAGAGGACTATCCAGAGAGAGAGAGAGAGAGAGAGAGAGAGAGAGAGAGAGAGAGAGAGAGAGAGAGAACACAGGCTTTGCATGGGTTTCACAGAACCATCTGGGTGAGGGCTGAGATATTCTCAGACTGATTAATGAAAACACAAGAATTTGACAAGCCAACCTCCACCAAGTCCGTCTCAGACCTTGGGGCCGCCGTGGGTAGGCAGAGCAATATGGGTTCAGGAATAGAGAAAACTTATTGCGTAGGAAAAGTCAAGCAACAAGACAACAGAATGGGCCTCTGAAGATCCCAGAAGGTTCCAGAATCCCACAGTGCAGGAAAACAGGGTCTACCAAGAGACACAGGGTTTTAAAAAAAAGGGGGACCCCTTTCTATAATCACTGGAATTCAAGGTTCTCACTCCCAGGCCCTACTCTCACTCCTGTGCCCCTCCAGACCAGATCTAGGATGGTCAAGAGATGGAAGCATGGGTGGGGATGGTAGCTTATGGGGTAGGTGCTCTGCAGCTCAGTTTGGGGACTGGGCTCCAGGCCACAGAAGGAAAGCAACAGGACGGGGACAGGAAGAAGAGCCTATCCTTTCCCTCCATGCCCATGAGTCACTTACACCCTTCCTTCTAGAGTCTGTTCCCACTCCACACGGTCTCTTTCATGGCCCAAAGACAGAGCCTGCAGAATAGAAACATCCAGGCCCCAGTACAGGCTCAGACACACAGAAGAGCCTAGGAAATGCTGATAAAGTGGAGTTGGGGCAAGAAGGACTTGAAGTAACAATCATTGTCAGTTTGCATGGATTTCTGCCAATATTTTCCTTGAAAAATAATTGTCAATTTGGCTTCAGGTCATTACCCACTAGGCAGCAGATGGATATTTCTACCTGGGGGAAGAAATTCAAGTGAAAATGATCAAGAGGAGTGAAAAAATGGTGATTGAGATTTCTGACAAATCTCTGTGTACCTGATATATCTGTTCCTTTTCTGTTGGAATTATCTGGTTCCATTATCTACTAAGATTGTGTTATATTCAGATGAAGAAAAAATATTTTAAATATTAAAGGTGGTCTATTTCAGGAAAAAAAAGCTTACAAATTTTTTGGAAGGGAATGTAACCAGAATATTCTTGTAATTGACATATTTTCGTGCACCATAACTGGATTTGAATTAAATTTATAGCACAGCAAAAAAAAAAAAAAAAAAAGAAGGGCTTAAAGGACATGACTTCCAACTGACACATGCCCAAGTCATTCAGTTCATCAGGAAGGAGCTGTTCAGGGTTTGGCACCGGCCTGTGGGCCCCACACACTGCCTTCTGGGGACAAGCAGGAAGGACTGGATCAAATGGCTCAGGTTTATGGGCCCTCTGGAGAAACCAGCCTGGCAAAGGCCGATAGATGCCCTGGCTAAGGAGGAAAGGTCAGGAGTCCAGCTTTGGCAGTCCTAGGCTTCTGGAATCCAGAATGAAAGAACAGAAGGGGGTTTCACTTTGTAACACGGCACCGAGGAGTTGTGGGGGCCTTGAGTTAGGCTATGTTCATTCTCCCATCTCCTTCCCCTCAGACCCCAGAGAGCTTGGAAGGTTAGGCCATCTGAATTCTAGACAAGATCGACAGGAACAAGGATGAAAGTGGCGGTGGGGGAAGGGGGAGCCAGAAAGGCAGATCCCTGGCAAAGAAATGAGGCACAGAAGCACGGACCAAGCCAGAGGTCGTTCCATGGGCATTTGGGTTGCTCATACACAGAACAGTGTCAGAAAGATTCCCCAGAGGGAAATGAGGGAGTCTGGGGCCTACCCTGCCCTGTATGGCAGGCAAGCTCTTCCCTTATGGCCTATCAGCCATAATGGGGCCCCTGATGACAGGTAAGGAGAGAGGCTGGAACATGGAGGTGGTACTATAGCTGACCCAGAGTCAAGTTCTCAGGCCTTGGAGTTAGGGTGGACAGAGGCATATGGGATCAGAAACAGACAAACAGTGGCTAAGAAAACTGTGTACTGAAGAGTCCTGCAGATTGTTGGCCTTGGACAGCAGCCTCTCTCCCCACCACGCCTGTGTGCACACTCACCTCTCCGTGCTGCACCTGTGTCAGGTCCTCAGTGGAGCTCTCACTTGTCCTGTCTGCAAACTCAAAAGGAAATGGGGTCAGCCTTGCAGCCATAGCCCTGAAGCCTCTGCCTAGTTCTGTTCCTCCCCAAAGCCTAATGCTGCATCTGTAGACCCAGCCTACACATTACCTTAGAGGGGCCCAAACTTCTCTATATGGCTTGTCTTTGTCTTTATTGAGTTAGCAAGAATATCCACAACTGGGATGCTTCTTCAGTTCCCCAACACTGACCTGGCCACTCCAGGAACTGAACTGTTCAGCTATGTCAGAGCATCTTATTTAGTCTCCTTAAAAGTCACCCTCTGGGATACTGGTCATCCCTTCGTGGATGGTCCCAAGATCCCAGAATCCCATGCCTACAACCAGGGTTTTCACTACACACTTCCAGGGCCCTACTCTCCAGTCTCTCTGACTCCAGGGGAATCTTGAAGCCCCTGCTAGCTACTATTCTCAGGCAATCAGAACACAGGGAGAGCCCCGTAGCTTCCTGAAGCTTGGTGCTGTTCTCCTTCCCAAGTCCTTGCTTCACCATCTGGCTTGTCTTGAGTGTTCCTGCTTCAGAGAGCCAGGGAGTAGAACTGGGCTGCCTGTTAGAGCTGCTGAGGCCAGCCTCCCTGTTCACCTCTCAGCTGACATCTAGAAGAGTAAGGAGGACCACACAGAAGTACACCTTCCCAAACCCCAGCATCTAATGCTCCCCAAGAAGCTCTCCTTGGCTTCCCCAGTCTACATGGACAGCCCAATTATATACCTCTACTCAAGCCCAGTCTGCTCCTCAGGCCCACACATGCCAGCCTCAGTTTACCCAGAGACTCTACACTAGGAGTCCAAGCCTGTGCCCTCTGCTGCCACGAAGAAGACAGGAGAGGCGAGGACTCAGCCAATGCTTACCCCCTCTCGGGTGTTACTTTATTCCTTTTAGCCTTGTTGTGGGGACAGTACCCAGTGGCTACAGGCTCTGCAGCCATACCACTTCTGCTTCCAGCAGCTAGTTGCCTTCAGCTTCACCCTAGCAGTGCCTCCTATCCATGTCCCCTGACAAGCTCCTCCTCAGACTGTCTGCTGCTCCCCGGGCTGCTATTACCTACACTGCAGAAGTTAGGGGTGTTAATGAGGGCTATTGATATGAGCTTTGGCCAACGGGACTTGACAAGGTTGAGGATAAACTTTTCCTCTTCTTTTCTCACCCCTAGACTTTTACTTTGCCTGGTATTGAAGTGACAGAAGTGGCACAGGAGACATCCATGCCAAGCTGTCATCTCCCTGTAGGAAGGGAGTGTCTACTACATGCTGGCTATCTCTGGGCTCTTTCTGCAAGTCCATAAAGGGGGTACTGTGGGACCCTGGCAGACTTCAGGAAGACTTACAGTTCTAGTTCTATTCTATTGCTTTGATAAAACATTCTTGCCAAAAACAATGTAGGGGCAGAAAGGGTTTATTTCAACTTACAAGTTATAGTCTATTAGTGAGGGAAATCAATATAGGAAGTCAAGGGGGACTTGCCGGTTTGTTTGACTTAGCTAGCCCAGGAGGGGCTACCTGCCTAGGGGATGGGTGCTGCCCATAGTGGGCTGGTCCTCCTACATCAATTAACAGTCAAGACAATTCCCCATGGATGCTCATACCAGCTGTTCTGACCTAGGCAATTCTTCAGTTAAGGCTTTCCTCTCAAATGACTGTGTCAAGTCGACAAAGCTCACTGTGACACTCACCTTTGCAGGTCTGACAGCAGGAGTCAGGCAGAGGGAATGGGGTTGGGCAGCTGGGTTCAGGGCAGGTCATGAGACCGCAGTAGGTGTGGCCCTCCTGACAGACAGAACACAGCAGATTGGAGATGAGCTCTGTTGAAGAACAGCCTTAGGGCTCAGGAGACCATCTTTCCCTTGAAGCAAGTCACCACTGAGGTAGAGGATGGAGGGAGTGGCATGTGGTTCCTGAGCAGGGAAAGTCAGCTCCGGAGTTTCCCCTTGATATCCTATTCCCTCTCCAAGCCCTATAAAGAATTTCACCTCCAATATTCCCTCAGCTTTCACAGCCACCTGTGAGATGGGCTTTGAGATGAGTGGAGTCCTGGAGAAGAGGGGAGAACTGTGCCATCCAGCCATAGAAGTTAAGGTAGAAAGGATCAGAGCTCAGGCTTCAGGTTTTTCCTACTGAAATCATTATCTTTCTTGAAGGCCTGCATCAGGGACCCAGCAAGGGAGCCAATTATCTGGGTGACACCCCCCCCAGGCTTATATCAGTCTTACTGAAAGACCTTTAAGTTCATTGGCCTTGAACTTCAAGGCCCAGTCTGAAAGGTGAGACTGCAGGATGCAGGGCCCTCTGGGAAGCAGGAGGCTGGGCACCTTTGGAGAGGTCTTTTCTCCTTCTATGAAAGGCAGAGAGCACACCCATTGGGGTTGTGAGGATCAGCTGCCAGTGTGATCGTGAAAAGTGGCTGTAAGGCCCCTCATTCTTATAGTCTGAGAGGTAAGGCTCCAGAGGGGAGGTCAGACCTCAACCCAGAGCCATAAACAGGGATGAGGTGGAAGAGAGGAGAGCTATGCTGCCAGAAAGGGTGGGCGAAGGAACCTCTAGAGCATCCCCTCATCCACCACCATCATTTCTGCATCTTTCCACAGCCTGGTCCCAACTCAGACCTCCCCTTTTACGGTAAGCAGCATCCCACTGGGAAAGGAGCACAGACTTTGGGAGTCATGGAGGTCTGGGTCTGGATTTTGGCTGAGTAGCCGTAAGCAAGCTACTTAACTACTTTGAGTTGTCACTTATCTGAACAGGAAGAGATCCTTCCCCTAAGGCCATTGACTAAAGACAGCTCTGTGGACCTGAATCTAGTGCTGCAATGTCCTAGTCTCTAGAAAGAGGTGCCTGCTCCGCACAGCAGTCAGTTGCTAGCCTGACAGGTCATCATTTCCAGATGCTGTTCCATCTGCCACATGGCAACTTTAAGACTCACAGCCTGAACTAATGGAGACTGAAGAAAATGGAGAAGCAGGTTAGAGAGAGGTGGCCAGCCTAAGCCACACTGGGAATCAAGTGTTTTCCTCCAAATTGAAACATTTCCTCCTACAGGGAAGATGGAGGATGGCTCATAAGACTCTGGAAGCTAAGGAAACTTACAAGGCTCGGGGCACTCGGAAAGTTCTAGGGCTCCCAAGGCCCCTCTCCAAGATTAAATGAGCAGCAAATAATAGCTGGGGGAAAGGACTCTTTGGTAGAGCAGTGTGCATGTTGCATAGGGAACTCCAGGGATGTATTTGTGACACGAGTTGTCATGCATGTGGGAATGGAACTTTTAGTGATGCTGTTGCCTATGAGCCACCTACACGCCGGTCAGTGACCCAATGTGTCTGTCATCAATGTACCAAGTTAGACTTGAGTGGAATAGTTTATTTGGTTTGTTGTTGGTACCCTATCTGTGGTGAACAGATGTTAGTTCAAGTCTCTTCAAGAAAAGTCATACAACGCCAGAGCAGAACTGGAGTTCACCAATAGCTCACTGACACCTCACCTGGAAAGAGGCTAAAGATCACCTCAGCAGACTCCCTCAAGGATTTGGAACTGAGGCCAGAGAGGTTTGGTGAGAGCAAGGAACACTAAACCCGACAGTAAGAATAACAGTACATATGACAGGCAGAGAGCTGCAAGACTCTCCCAAGCAAGAAGATTGAGACTTCCTATGTCCTGCCATGCTTGGCTTTGCTCTGTCCCCCAATTACAGGGCTGTCAACCCTGCTGCCCCTAGGCCTAGACCATGGGCAGGGAGACCTAAGCACTTCAGACTAAATCCCATCTGTGTCCCAAGATTGTTGACGAATGCTACTCATTCATTCATTCATTCATTCATTCATTTGTTCATTCATTCATTCATTCTGCAGCAGCCACTGGCATCCTCTGCATGATAGACCCTGGGCATGGAGCAGGAGAAGACACAGCAACAACATGGGCCCTTTCCCTCCCTTCATAGAGGTACAGTGTCCATTGGGGAAAGTAGACATGGGTTACTCTCATTATTTGGGGATCAGGTGTAGAAACCCAGAGAAAGCTCACCACACCAAGCTAGGGGCAGGACATTGTGAACCTTGGATGTTCCCTTTCCTCCAACCTCTCTTATTCTCACTAATGACCTGCCCCACCCCTCTCTGTAGGAGAGACACTGGCTTGGACCCCAGAGACAGTAGAAGATCTTACAATACAGCTACAGAGGACACACTGGTTGGACAGGCGGGTGGGGATCAGCTCCTGGGCACTGAAGATCTCTCCATGTTGGTATGTGGTCTCATTGAGCTGGCAGGATTTTAGGGGAGCCCGAATCCCAGAGGGGAGATGAGGATCTGCAGGCAGGAGAGCAGGGGAAGAAGGAAATGAAATTTCGATGGATTTAAGATTTTTTGTTTTTTATTTTTATTTTTTTATTTTTTTTTGTTTTTTTATTTTTTGCCAGAATTAGGAAGGCCACTTTTCTGAAGATTTTGCTCTCCTTCTCCCCTCTTAGCTTTGGCTTCCCAGACATTTACCATATCAGCTAGCCAAGAGGTCTCACCAATAACTACATCTGACCACATGCCTCTCTCCACTGCAGCCCAGCCACCCCTCAGTGTCTGAAGCCATGAGTGTGCATGGAGCACTCTGGGCTTGGTTCTCCAAGAGACAGGGCTGGAGAATAAGGAATTCTCACCCTCATGCTGTTATTCCCACAGAGTCAGGTGTGAAGTTCTTCACCATCCTGATGCACAGTGTAACCTCCTGTCATTCACTGGCCTCCAAGGCCAACTCCCACTCCTCATTCTGCCAGGACACCCTCTCATTCCTTCACAATACCTTCACTAAGACCGTTCTCAGCACCAGGCCCCGGGCCAGGCACCAGGAACAGAGTGATGACCGAGGCTTGGCCCTGCCACCTAGAGTTCACAATCTAAGAGGTAGAGAAATGTGTCACAGCAAAGACACCATGCAAGCATACAGGGGCCAGCCAGCTCCAAGTCATTCACTTTCACTTTCTCCATTACTTCCTCATAGCCCCAAATGTGAATTGAAGTCAGTATGCCAAGACATTCTTATCTCCTTCAGCCAGTTTCTCCTCTTTCTTCCTTTAACTTTACACTTTTATTACATTTCTTCATTCTGGAGGAAGGAGTGCAAGCTATGCCATGTGAGTGGTGGTCAGAGGATAATCCCAAGTCAGTTTCTCCTCCTACCATGTGGGTCCCAGGGACTGTACTCAGGTTTTCATCTTGGGGAGCTCAGGTTCCCCTACCTGCTGAGCCATCTTGTCCACCCAATTTCTACTCCATCTGCCTTCTTTCCCACAACGTGTATCAATTTTGGAACCAGAAGTTTGCTGCTGCTCTAGTCTACTTGGGGATCCAGAATGTGTCCACTGGGCATCTGTTAGTTCCCACACATCTGATAGATAGGGCCACTCTCTCCCTTCTGGAAGCTTCTCTCAGCCAGGGGCTTCCAGCAAGAGTGAGCTGGTCAAGTGTGGAGCTCAGCATCAGGGGAGGAAGAAGACTACTTACCCACACACCTGGGGCAGCACTGCTGTGGCTCCATTACAGGCTGTGAGCAGTGGAGGCGTGGGCATCGGAGGCGGTAACAATTCACATGGCCGATCTGGAAGAGATACACGGTTAGGCCTTATTCCAAAGAATCACTGCCTCCCATCTGCAGCTGTCCTCACTCCAGACTCCCACCCTAAACTGCACAACCCCACTTTGTCTTAAGCCTATGTACAATAGGATCCAAAACAAACTCAAGTGAGCCCTGCCCCTACCCTGCCTGCTAATTGATTTTACTCAGCCTACTCATCTGTATCCTTCACCCATGGGGAAGACAGATCTGTCAGGGGTTTGCTTAGACCTCATGGCCCCTTCATGGGTATGAGAAATAGAAGTAAAAGCCTTGAGGTATCTGGGCATTGATCTTGGTGCTCTGCCCAGGCTAATTTTAACTCTGTGGCTCTTTTTCTTACAGTACTGACCCTGAGCTTTGTGTTCAAAGGAGGGCTGAAACACAAGAGGACAGGACTGGACAGGACTAAAATCTGGTGTGGAAAAGACTTGGGTCTTTATCATCCTACTCTCCAAATCTCTAAGAGGTCTGTAGAAGCCTGGACAGAGCCTCTGGGGTTGGCACCATGGAAGGGCCTGAAGTTCTTTAATGTCATCAAGTTCAGCAGGTAAAAGAGTCAGACAAACACACATAGCAAGAGATTAACAGAGGCAACGATAGAGGCCATAGAGGTTTCCCAGAACACCAGGCCATCTCTCAGCTCTTCCTCAGCTTCCCCACACCTTGGTCTTTCTCCCATGCCAGACTCACTGTGTTGTGCATTTGCATCTGTCTTCCCTATTCAACCATGAACTCCAAAGCATGGTTGTCACGGGGGCCTGACGCCAAGCAAGCAACCACTAAAATCTAAAAGTGTGAGTAATGTGAGAAGAGAGAGCCAGAGGTTAGATATGGAGGCTTTCAAATGAATGGAGCCAGCATTGATTAAACCCTATAGTTAATCAAGTTGACTCCAGCTCTCTGGTATGTGGTTCTCGTTTTATTGTCCTCTGCCCAGCAGAAGCTGTAGATAGGACTTCTCCCAGAAACCACCTCTTGCACCAAGGAAAACCCTAGACTTCCTGAGTCCCTCTGGAATCTCTGCTTTCCAAGATGGCCAGAAATAACGCCAAGGACTGATCAGAAATGGTTGAGCTTCAACAGTGATCCCCTAGGGATCCCTCAAGTGTGGAGATTAATCAGTCTCAAGAAAGTAAAATGAGGCCGTCAGGTGAAAAACTAGGTGGAATTTGAGCACTGTGGTCTAAAGTGCTAGAATCTTTCTCTTGGCTCTTGCTGAAGTGATGAACAACAGGCAGCAGTGGATCAGGTGGGGGCAGTTTGGAGGTGAAAGGGCAAGGACAAGGCATGTGGCAGGGCTCTTTGTGGTCATATAGAACTTTACTGTAAGGTCAGATCCACCATTTTGGGGGTGGCTGTGTAAATACAGATGACCTCACATCCTGTCGTCAACAATGCTGAAAGGCACTAGCATCTTTCCTGGGAGCAAAGAATGTCCCGGAGGCCGCCTGAGATCACACAGCAGCTAACCACCATGACCAGGGCCCATGCCTGCCAGGGATACTGAGCACAGACACAACCAGGATGAGTGAGTCTTCTGTTCTCAGAAGCCTGCCTCCCAGTGGCTGGAGGTGAACCATACAGCATTAAGAAGCAGAGACAAGCTAACATCAGGTGCTATGTTTATGGCCATGACCAAACCAGGTGGTGTGATTAGAAGACACATTTGAAGACTGTAAGAGAAGCCCTCCTAAGGAGGTGACAGTCACATTGTGAACCAGGAAGAGAAAAGCAGCCTATTTCAATGGAGGGAATAGTGAGATGTTCCAAATGTTGGAGGTTCAGACATCAGGCTGGTGTGGCTGCAGCAGGGCTTTAGGGTATGGAGGTAGAAGATAATGAGGGTGTTAATCATGCAGAACTGCTAGAGGGCTGGTGTAGAAGGGTGCTTGCCTAGCATGTATGAAGCCCTGGGTTCGATCCCTTGCACCCCATAAAGTAGGCACAGTGGCACACACCATGACTATTGAGGTAGAGGCAGAAGGGTCAAAAGTTCAAGATTATCCTCAGATACATTTGAGGTTAGCCTAGGCTACATGAGACCCTGTCCTAACCACCCCCCAGAAAAACAGTGATTGGATGGTTTCAAGAGCAAAGAGACACCACAATTCTGGGTTCCGGAAAGGCCTTTCTAACTGCTCGGTGGAGAATGGATTTTGAGAGGGACGGCAGGGAGGCCTGTTGGTGAGCTCGCACAGCAGTCCAGATGAGCGAAAAAGACAGCTTCGATGGTGAAGAGGGGCAATGGTGGAGAGAAATGGAAGCTTTCAGATTGCACTTTGGAAGTGTAGGCAACAGTTCTTTGGGCTCAGGAAAGGAAACTACACGTGTGAACTCTGGGGAAGGAGACATGAATAAGCTCCAATGGATCACAAAACTTGGCCTTTGTCAACCAGACCATGTGACATGTCTGGAATTTTCTGTTATGGTTTCCTTTCTGTTTTCTGGCTATATTTCACAAAGTTCCTTCTTAAAAGGCTTATTGGCCTCAGACATGCTAAGGATAATAAAAAAGAGGCAGCTGGAGCCATGGGGAGATTGTATTCCTGTCTGTGTCTGAGTTCTACCTGAAGTTAAGATGATAGAACAGTGGGGAGAAACAGTGAAGGACCCAGGAAGGGGTGAGTCTGGTGAGGAAGTGGAGAGAAGGGCTGCATCACTTGCTCCTCACTCAGGTCTCCTTTGGGGCTCTTCTCTGCCCCTAGAGGTTCTGTCTTAACCATGGATGCCCTCAGAGCTTCTGCCTCCTCCTTCTCTTGGTCTGTGAGGAAAAGAGGGTGCTGAAGGTCTGAGAGCCAGAAGCCCCAGCACCACCCAGAGAATGAGTTCAAGACATTCCAGCAGGGCCCTGAAGGCTGAGTGCCCCTCAGCCCTACTCCTCCTGTTCTCCCATCCTCACACCTTCCTGGAGAATTCTGCATCACACTGGTTTCCTTTATGCTACCCAGTTGACTGGGCAAGGCCCAGGGAAGTGCTGGGTGGATGATATGGTTTGGATGTTGGATAACCCTAAAAGTGCACATGCTGCAGGTCCCAGGGTGAAGCTTTTGGGAGGTTCAGGAGATGGGATTTTGTGAGCAGTCCATAGGTCACTGGGGTTGTGCCCTTGAAGAGGACCGTGGGACTGGGGCCTCTTCCTCTTTGTTTGGCTTCCTGACCACAAAGTAAGCAATGGTGTCAACTGACCTTGAACAAGAACCCTTAAAGCTGTGAAATGGAGCAAACATTTCTTCTTTATGTTTATTTTCTCGTGTTGACTGTGGTAATGGAAGGCTGATTGGTGCAGTAGGGGGAGTAGGAGAGATAGAAATGAAAACAAAGATATGGTCTCTGCCCCATTTAGTTCAGCCTTTGGCTAGATATGAGACTTGATCTTGGGGGTCTCATCTACGAGATGCACATAGCTGGGAACAGTAATTAGGAGACTGAGACATCGATGTTTGTGCAGGAAGAGCTACTTCCAGGCAGAGGTCCTTTGCTGCTCTGGGCAAAGCCTTGAAGAACACATATTTGGATCAGCTGAGGTGGAGGAATGTATGTTGAGTCATGGTTAGGTGGAAGGCTGGAGGGAATTCCTTGGAAACGAAGGAGTAGAAGTCACAGAGGCTTTGCCTCAGCTGGGTGGAGACAGCAACACTAACTGACTAGAGACCAGATCCTCAATCCATCCAGCCACCGAGCCACAGCTGCCTCTGACATCATTCTAGGATGATAATTTCTGGGTGTCTGGACCTTAAGTCAGGGTGTCCTTCCATCCTCTGGTCTCCCAGACATACCTGATAGAGGTGGCCCAGTTGCCAGAGGAACCTACCTCAGTGCAGGTACACCGCACACAGTATATCGTGCCTTGTGGCTCCAGGTAGGGGTGCCAGCTCTGACCAGGGGTATATATCTTCTCACCGAAAAGGCAGACTTTGCCTGGGCCTGGCAAGCCAATTAGGGATGTTAGTCTCAGAAGGTTCCAACACAAAGCCCTGCCTCATCCCTCCTCCCAGAATGTTTGAGTTTGAATCTCAGCTGGACCACACACTTGCTGTTAGGTATGTTGCTGCTCCTCTCTGAGCCTTGGCAGTGTACAGGGCAGTGGAGGATCAAGCAATGAAAGGCTTTACAGATCAACACTGTGGTATAAATGGTAGTTCTTATGCATAGTGGATAATATGAAGTCCAGAAAGGACAAATTGGATGCTAAGGCCACACAACAGTTAACACACCAAGCAGGCTAGAAACCGGGGCCTCCTGGCTCTCTCTGCCCCATACTATCACTCATTTTCTTTATTTTGTCCCATTTGCCCCTCTCATCTCAGTCTGTCTCTTACACACACACACACACACACACACACACACACACACACACACACACACACACACACACACACACACACACACCCAACAATTATAAAAACTTTCATGTATCATTGAAAATGACCTTGTAATCATCCTGAGTGAGGTAACCCAGACCCAAAAAGACAAATAAAGTACGTATTCACTCATAAGTGGATTCCAGACATAAAGCAAAAGATACCCAGCCTATAATCCACAACCCCAGAGAAGCTTGAACCCTCTTCCAGAAACAGAATGAAGCAGATGCAGAAATCCACAACTAACCAATGGGCCAAGCTCCTGGAGTACAATCGAAATGAGGGAGGAGCAAAAATATGAACAAAGGAGTCAAAACCATGATGGGAAACCCACAGAATCAGCTTACGCAGAGTCAGTTTACCCGAGCTAGTGAATGATCACTGACTCACGTCTGACAAATGGGGAACCTGTATAAGACCGAACTAGACTCCCTTTATATAGGTGACAATGGTGTGAATGGGACAATATATGTGGCCACTGAAAGTGGGTCCAAGATCTAACACTAATGCACAAACTGAGTTAGTGGAGGTCATTCTATATGTGTCTTGCCCAGCCTAGACACAGGGGTGTGGGGAGTGGAGAAGTGCCTTGGTCTTGCCTCAATGAGATGATGGGACAGACTTAGTAGACTTCCTAGAGGAGGCCTTACCCTCTCTGAGGAGCAGATGGGAGGTGGGGGTAGGGTGGGGGGATTGGGAGGAGAGGAGGGAGGGAGAAGTGGGATTGGAATGTAAAAAATAATTTTAAAAAAATGTTGTTTGTGAGCCAAGGGGATGGTTTAGTGGGCAAAAGCTTGCTACAGAAATGTGAGGACTGGTGTTCAGATCCTCAGGACTCATGTGGAACATCCCAAAGGTATGGTAGCCCATCTGGAATTTTAGTGCTGTGGGATGTATGGTGGAGGACAGGGGATCCCTGGAGAAATCTGGCTGGCTAGACTAGTGGAAACCTCCCTAGACTAGTCAAATCAGCAAGTGCTGGGTTTAAGTAACAGACCCTGGCTCAATATATAAGGTGGGGAGCAATCTAGATCGACACCTAATATCAACCTCTGACATCCACATCCACACACACACATCTGCACACAAACACATGCACACATGCAACATGAACACAACACACAGAGAGACAGACAAAAATCATCTTTGTTACTTCCGTGAGTCACCTTAATGACTTTTTAGCTGTCTGTGTATCTGTTGTTAATAGGTACATGGATTGCTTCTCAGAGTGATTGAAACACTGGCTTGTTTTTGAGATGGGTTAGCTGCCACTCCTACTCCCCTAAAGCCTCCACCCCTTCTTTCATTTCTAACCAATCATTGTCACCTCACTTTCTTTCTACCCCTTGGGTGGCTCAGGGTCAGGTTTCCCATTTCAACATGGCTACCCAGGCTTGCTATGCCTCTTGCCCTGTCTCTACCAGGGCTCCATCATGCAGCTATCACGGGATCTTCAGTCCCTAATGGATATGGCATTCCTATAGGAAAACTCTGTCACTTGAGCTCTTCTTTTCAGAAGAAATGGGAAGGTCCAGCTAGAGTGAAGTGCCTCCATATTGAAACATGGGGATTGAAACCTGCATTTATTCTCTGCATTTATACGTTACTTAATGGGAGCTGGTGATGTAGCTCAATTGGTGGAGTGCTTGCCCAGCATACACAAAGCCTTGGGTTTGATCCTTTCCTCGCATCCTATAAATCAGGCATGGGAGCAGAGGCCTGTGACTCCAGCACTCTGAGGTGGGGAAGGAAGATAAGAAGTTCAGGGTCATCTGCATATGAGTTTGAGGACAGCCTGGGATACATGAGACCCTGTGTGGAAAAGTTGTTGATTTCCTAAACATTGTGTGAGAATTAATTTCTGTAATACTTGCTTAGCTTTCTTATTGTGTGTGTGTGGGGGGGGGCAAGGAGGACGTTAGGAACACCCAGCTTAGCTTTCTTCCTATGGGCCACCGAGGACCTTAGGAACATACCACTTAGGAACCTTTCTCACTGGGGGACCATGGAGGACCTTAGAACACACCACTTAGCTTTCTCCCTGGGGGCTATGGAGGGCCTTAGGAACACACAGTTTAACTTTTCCCCTACCTGTTTCCCACCAACCTACTGTGGAGGGTGGCATCAGACAGCAGGTCCTATCCCCCGTGAGCCAGCAACTCCTGGCTGGCTTGTCTTGCCCATATCAAATGAGCTGTGTTTATCTCTCAGCCTCCCCTGGCAGAGGGTGGAACACAGGCCCAGCTGGGGTGCTGGCTACAGCCAGTCTGACTCTCCAAGGAGTGAATAATGTCTTTCTTTCTCAGTCTCCTCCCCCAACAAGGGAGGGGTGATTGCAACACTGTGACTACCTTAGGTCTCAGTCAGTTGTTGAAGAAACTGTGTCCTACCTTCCTTGGGGCAGTCCTAAAGCCTTGGGCTTCTCTGCCAATTGGCATGCCTTCCCTTCCCTGCCTGCTCAGAGTATGAGGACAGGAGCCACTCAGTCAGGGCTCCTCCCTGCCACCAACACGCCTGGCAGAGGCTGAGTTTGTGGGGGGCCTGGCAGGAGGCCTCTGGTGGCCACAGACTCCACCCTACCATGCCCTCTAAGGTGCCTGGAGCGCTCTCTTCCTCTAGGGAGGTGCGTGCCCAAGGCCATGTGAAAACCAGGAGAGAAGGAGAGACTGCCAAGCACAGCCACCCTGGTTCCAGTGACCCTGGCTCCAGCACCAGCTCCTGTCCAAGATTGTTGGCAGGAGTGCTCACTCCTGAGACTGCAAGCACATGAGGTGACATTCAGAAACATCTTACCTTCTCTGAGCCTCAGTTTCCCTATTTGAAACATACACAGGGGTAGGCTATGATCTCCAGAGGTTTCCCGCATAGTCTATGAATCCACGAATCCACGATTTCAAGTTTTCTAAGATTCAAGATTTGAGAGTTGTACATTTGTAGAAGCCTACATTTCATTACATCATAAAGCTTCTGATGGGCTTGTTTAATGCTGTGGTTATAAGCTAGACTGACTACTCCTCAGTTCTTTGAGGTTCTGAGGGCTGCATCCTAGGCTGTCAGGCTCTCAGGCAGATTAGGATGAAGTTCTGGGGAGCCACCGGGGTCAACCCCAAGTGCCACTGGGAAGGAGGCAGTGTGCTCTTCACACCTCCCTCCCTTTGTTCTCCCTCCTTCTGTCTCCTCTCCTAGCCCAGCTTCTTCTCACCCATCACCAATTCTCATCCACCCACCTGTGCTCAACCTCTTCTCACCCATCACCAATTCTTATTCACCCACCTGTGCCCAGCTCTTTCTCCATCTAGAAATAAGCATGTCTTAATTTCTAAGACCTTCTGTTGTCCCAGAGGTCAGGGCTTAAATAATAGATTTGGCTTTTATTTGAAGTCCAAGTTGAGTAAAGCTA